AAAGAGGCAAACTTTCTGCCTAAAGTAAGCACAGGAACTTAGGGGTTGATAGAGGACACAAAGAAGAGATGGAGAAGAAATGGAGAGAATGGGACCAAGCAACACAGCAGAACCCTAAACCAAGCTGTAGAAATAGGCTAGAACATGGTAGGGGTAGAGGAATGTAAGATTTTAATGTTCCTGGCCACAATAAGCTATTTTAGAACCTTGCTCCTCCTCCCATTAAGACACGGAGTCTCTGTCCCTTCCCTTGAGCTTGGTGGTGGGGATGGGGGTTTGTGACAGCTCCTGCAAGTAAAATACTGCAGAAATTATGTGATATGACTTCCAAGACATGACTGGAAGAGCCCATGAAGCTTCTGCCAGGTTCTCTTGGGACATTCACTCTTAAAAGCCAGCCATCATGCTATGAAGAAGCTACCTAGAGAGGCCAAACGGCAGGTGTTCTGGCTGACAGGCAGTACCACCCACCAGACATGTAAGCGAAGTCACCTTCAGCTGATTCCAACCCCAGCCATCAAGTCACCCCCAACTGTTGAATCACCTCCCAGCAGACGGCACAGCCATTGTAGAGAAGAGACAAGCAGTCCCCACTGTGCCCTGTCTGAATTCTTAACCCACAGAATCTATAAGGATAATAAAATGGTTGTTTTATGTCACTAAATTTTGGAGTCATTTGTTTTACAGCAATAGTAACTAGAACATCTCCCAAACTACCTGCACTTAAGTCCTTGTCTCAGGGTCTACTTTGGGGAGAATCCAAACTAAAACACAAGGATATGGTGTAGATCCCCAAATTTCTCCAGCTGCCAGCTCTGTACTTTCATTAGACCAAGTGGAAGGTACCTCATTTTAATCCCAACAAGAAGCTTAAGTCTCAGTCTCATTGTTTTAGGGACAGACAGGCCAATATAATGCAATTACTGATTGGGCAGGCTTGGTCAGGTCCTCCTTCCTCGTCACTGCCCCCAGGCCCCACCATAGGGTCTGCCCCACCAACCACAGTCCTGAGAGCAGGGAAAGGAGGTTCCTCAGAGAAAAATTAGGTTGCAGCCACCAGGCCTTGCCAGTGCAGTTCAAGGATCAGGAACCATGAACTTCAGTGCACTTAAGCTCAGAGTCTTAAACTCAGAGGTGAGTGCTGACTGATTGAGCTAAGCCAATCATGGTAATTCCACTCCGCTTGCCAGGGATTGGTTTAGGCAAAGACATGTGATACCATTGCCAGTGAGACATGGGGAAAAGGCTCCCGGGCAAGGGGGTAGGAGGGTAGGCAGTGGTTAGTAAACCTATCTTTACCCTTAAAAAGAGGCACAAAGGGATATCCTAACTTCTGCCTTTGAAAGTTTTTGTACAGTGATGTGATGTTTGAAGCTACAGCAGTCATCTTGGGACCATGAGGGGCAAGCCTGAGGATAAAAACCAAACACAGGGCATGATGATATAAGAAGATGGAGGTGTTCTGTTTGACAGGCAGGTCCTCCCACCAGACATGCAAGAGAAGTCACCTCCAGTTGATTCCAGCTTTGATGACATTGTTCAGCTACCTCTTTACCAACCATAGATACACCTACCTTCAAACACCTTCAGAGGTAAATAAATCTCAACGCTTAAGCTATTTTGAGTTGAACCATGGGTATCTTAACATATAGAACTTGATACCAGGAGTGGGTGCCTCACTGGGCATACTATGATGACAGATTCAGGTCAGATCTCCATTTTCCATTCCAGAAGCTGTTCTCCTGCTTCTTCGTACTTCCTGTAATGAGGAAGTGGTTCTAGAACGGACAAATTCCCTCTTGATGTAATTCTTAATGATTCTGAGGTTGAGGAGTGGGTATCAATTCTATTTCCAGAAACAAAGTATGATTTATGTGCTCACAGGGGTTATATTTTGGAACTGCAGAAAGGGAAAGGTTCACATGAAATTCATCATGGCCCCAGCATTCTAAGGTTTGCAAGAGACTAAGAACCCAACATGGAAGAACTCATCTTCAACAGCAAAATGGGTATTACACAATTCACATAGCACTTATTATGTGCATCCTCTCGATTCATACTCATAAAATGGGCAGCATTACCCCATTCTGCTAAGGGTTCAGAAAAGGTCAGTAACTGGTCCATGCAGCAGCACCCCTACCCACAGCGTTTACCATCTCTAGTGTTCTCCAGCTGAGAGGGCAGCTATGCATTCCCCACAGCAGATGCCAACCAGGGGGAGAAGGATAACCGAACCACACATGCCTGTCCCACCTCCCTGCTTTTGCTCAATCTGCTTCTGAGGCCGTAATGGGATTCATATCTACCTTTTAGTCATGCACTTTCTCGTGCCAGTACCTTTCTAAACACTTAATATGTTATTCTCACTTACTCTCTTCTGGCAATCCAGAGAAGAAACCGAAGCCCAGAGAAGTTGGGTAACCTCTCCCCTGCCCCCAGGTCACACAGCTTAGTAGGTGGTGGAGCTAGGTTTGAATCCATGCGATTCGAGTGATTCTAGAGTCTACACCCTAAACCATCACCCATTTCTTTCCTCTCCCTCTACAGGACCATTTTCCAGTTAGAATGTCATTCTTACAGAGAGTCTTTCCTGATGCCTCAGACAAATATGGCCTCTCCTTCGGCACTATGGGTATTCATAAAACTAGTCACCTTCCTTGGTTACCTCTGTAAGCACTGATTTACTCTCCCACCCTGCCTGCCATCAGCCATTATCTTTGAGTGCCCCCGCAACCATTTTACAGAACAGAAGGAAGGCCGAGGCTCAGAGAGGTTAAGCAACTTGCCTGAGACCACACAGCTAGGGAGTGGCCAGATGGGACCTGAACCCAGGCCAATCTGTACCAAAGTCCTAATTTTGAAAAAGATGCTGACAAACACCTCGAATTTAAACCAGGAATCTCTGCCTACCTCCCCCTGGCTCAAGAGGACACTGGGCGTTGAACATGGGCCCAAGGGACAGAGAGTTTTGAATGGAATAGAGTGGGGCTGGCAGTCAGCATGTCTGAACCTAAGTCATCACCAC